TTGTGCTCCAATGTGTTTTCCTTTCATATTAGATCAATTATCATAATCTTGCCCTCTTATTTCATTAACATCAAGTTCATATTTTTTCAAAATATTTAAAAGTTCATCAAAAAGGCCTTTTTGAAGTATTATCTACTTTTAAAAACTCTAAAAAGTATTCTTCAATCTTTATTGGACTTGTTGAAGTATCAAAACATCTTAAAATAAGAGTCATTTGTTCTTGATGACTTGCATCTGGAGTACAATCAAGGATAACTAAAAAAATATTTTGCTTCTTTTATTTTTTTAATGATTATTTTCTTAATTTCAGAAGCTAGCAACTCTATTAGTTCATTTTGTATTTTATGACTAAGTTAATGATTTTGAATTTCATCTTCTTGTATACATTTAACATGCTCTTGCATTATAGACTCAAATTCCGCTATCATTTAAACTAAGCTTAAAAAGTTTTCATTATTTTTTTTCATATATCTTTTCTTTTGTTCCTCGAAATGCAAGATTATTTTTTGATAGATGTTTTACTATAGCAATAAGTCTTAGCAAAACTTTTTTCCGGTGTTATTTTTCTTTATTAATTTGTTCTTAAATGTTTTTATCTATTGTCTTATTTTTTTGTAATCTTACTTCTAAATCCACCCATTTACACATATAAGTGATATGTTCATGACTTGTTTCATGATTTTTAATTTTATATCCAAGATTTTTCCAATCTCTAGTGCCTTCGTTAACTAACTGACTTGTACTAGATTTTAAAGTAAATAATTTGCAACAAAAGCAATAAACTCTATCTAAATCTTTTGAGTAAACTAACCACCTTCTTTCATGTTTTTCTCCATTTAACAATTTTTTAATGTAATATGATGCAGAAAAGTGTCTATTAATTTCATCTTTAGGAAAATCTAATTCTTCATATTTAATTGGACCCTTTTCAACTATTAGATCTATAAAATTTCGATCAATATATTTCCATTGTCCAGGATCATAAATATTGATAAGAATTGAATTTAATACCTCATTCATCTCTAAATTTTTTTCTTGGCCCTCATGTGTATTTTCTTTATATTCTTCATTAAAATTAGGAGTATTAGCTTTTTCTTCTTGAATATTATTATCGTTAATATCATTATTTTGTCCTAAATTCTTAACATATTCTTCTAATTCATTCTCAAGTAAAGAATCTAAAGATTCATCTATTCTTTCTTTTTCTGTTAAAGTTGATGTAATATTATCTTTATTACTAAAAATAAATTTATCAAGAGCTCCTTGTTGAGATCGAATTAATTTTTCAACTCTTTTTCTTTTTTTCAATTTTTGACAACCACTTTCATATTTTTTATTAGGCATGCTTTCAAAATATAAAATAGCAAATAAAAAGGTTTCAATGTATATCTACAATATCTCTAATTAAGCATAAAATTAATATGAATAAATGATAAAGAAAATTAAATAGCTTAGTTAGAAAGATAGAACCGTGAGACTATGGGAGGCTGGGTCCTGGGAGCGGACTGCGAACTTCAGCAGAGTGGGAGGCTGGCGGTCAGGCGGTGCCGCAGTGGGAGCGGAGCCTGGAGACTGGAGTGGGAGGCAGGGAGTAGGGACCCGTAAGGGATGATGAATTAATTAGTTGGTGGAAGTGGAACCTGTAAGAAAAAATTGGATCTAGGAACAAATTAAGCTACAACATCAAGAGATTTAAATCATCTCCAGATTAAGAGAATGTAATAGCCCAGGATGCCTTAAATTAGATGCTAGAAATTGATGAAATATCGAAAACAATGTAGATTATAATCATAACAATCAAAATGGGCTTTACCTCAAAAAACCAAACACCACAGAGTGAGTAGGATTTAGGAAAGACTGAAAGAGGACTAGAGGGAGGAGTAGCCTGTAGCCGAGTAGGAAGATCCGAACTCCGAAGAAGAGGAGCTTG